GGAAATTTTATATTGTTTATATTGTTTAAAACAAATATATATTTTTTAAAATGTAATTGAATACACGATAAAATGCTGTTTTGTTAGGAATAAAGTTTTGGTTGGTGCTGGACTAATATGGGGTATTAGTCTTTGCTGTCTCTTCATTAGTCGCAAACTTCCAGGATCAATGGCATTATTAAATTTTATTCCTGGTATTTTATTTTGGTCAGTGTTTGTGTGATGACAGTATTAAGCATAAACATTTAATGCCTTCACTTTTATTTATTTAATTGTTTGTTGACCTTAATGTATTAATTGCAATTTTGTAAATAATGATTATAGTATGGAATACAAATAAAAGTTCCTAATTTAATTCCATCACTAACTATATGATTAATATTAATCAAAATATTTATACAATTAATTGATAATATTAATTTACTGTCGTTATTTTTCAACATGATATTTTTGTGTTTAGTAATATTTACTGTTATTTATCACAATACATATACCTTTTTTAAGTAATATAATTTTAAATGACAAAATTAATTTTTAAAAATATATATTATTATATAGGAATCAAAAAGTGGAAAATGATGAAGAACAGAAATGTAATGTTAATGAAGCTAGTACATCTGTACCTGTAAATTGTGAATCTGACTCTCACTCTGAGACAGAAGAAGAAAATGCAAAGGGGTAAGTTATATGATCATTTTTTAAATTTGCTTACTGAATGGATATGTTCAGATATTACATTAATATTTGTATGATTAATTATGTTTTGTACAGGCAGAAAATACCAAATTTCATGGTAGGTGGATTAATAGGAGCATCACCTCCAAAATTTGTTTCTCTTGAAGAAATTATAAAGGCTGCAAATGGCATGAAAAATATGGCATTAGCACATGAAATTGCAGTGGACAAGAATTTTCAGTTACAAAAGCTTGATCCTGATGATGGCACATTTCACAGAAGAGTAAAAGAAATTATGCATAAAGCTTTTTGGAATTTGTTAGCAGAGCAATTAGCAGAAGAACCTCCTAATTATACACAAGCATTGGTTTTATTGAAAGAAATTAAAGAAGTAATATATTTGCATGGATTTCCTGAAGCAAGAGGAAGTTTTTATATCCGTTAATAATTTTTTTCTTTTTGTAGACATTAGATGAACTAGTATTGCCACATCACGCAAAGATTCGTGAAAATTTAAGGGAAGCACTTGATGTAGATCTAATTAAACAACAAGCAGAAAAGGGTGTTTTGGACTTCCATCATTATGCACAATATGTGATTTCAATTATGAGCAAAATTTGTGCACCAGTAAGAGATGAAAAGATTAGAGAGCTTAGTCAAAAGACAGACGTTATTGAAATATTCAAAGGCATAATGGAAGTGCTGCAACTAATGCGGCTTGACTTAGCAAATTTTACTATCACTATGATGAGACCAAATATAGTTGCTTCAAGTATTGAATACGAAAAGGCCAAATTTGCTGAGTTCTTAAAAGTCAATACAAATGGTTTACAATTTACAGAGAAATGGTTATTAAGGCATTTCGATCCAACAAAAGTTACAAGTAATTCGTCTGACGTTAATTCTGTGTGCCAGCTTACACATTATCTTTTAACAGAAGCATATCTTGATCTTCTGGAATGGGATTTTAGTCCAGATGCAGAAGTATGTGTTAAAGCATTTATATTAATAATATAATTAATATTATATTACTTAAATTAGTATTATGAATATTTTTATTATGTTTGATTTGCAGACTTTGATGCTTGATCAAGGTAGATTATTAGAAATGCGTGATAAGACCAACAGATTAAGCATTATGGGATCTGTAATATTGTTAGTAAACAATACAGTTGGTGCACCAATTCATGGAGTATCAAGTTTTAAGAAAAATATTAAGGAACACCTTAATGTATTGTTAAATTCTGTACATTCAAATAAGTATGTAGATAATAGCATTTGTATCTATAAGTAATAAAATTACAAGTTGAATTTGTCACTTCTATTGTTATTAGGGAATTGGAAACTGTAATGCCAAATATTGTATTGCAAGTCAAAGCAGATTTAAAAACAACATTGCAAGAAATAGGTGCTACTCTTCTCTCTTCAGAGATGGAAACACTATTAGAAGGACAAATATTGGATCTCATTAATCCAGAACACAAAATCAAACATCTGATAAGTAAGCATCTGTATAAACTTATCAAGTCAGTTTTTTTATTTGATTTGTGTATCTTTTTAGATTTGAGAATTCGGCAGTTTTTACAAAAAATAATATCAACTCAATCTGCGGCACCGCAGCAAGTACCACCTGGACTTTCATCACTTCAGGAAGAGTTAACAGCCATAGCAGCCCAATTTTTAATACTTATTTCTCATAATCGAAGTGTATTCGGAGAATATTACCAAGAAATCATTACCAATGCACTTATTAAAAAAGAAACTGAGAGTACTAAAGATACGAGTGAAGTTCTTACCATGGAGTTGTAAAAAAAATTAAAGATTTAAACCAATCTTTGTAAGGGAAATATATTATGTGTTCATAAAATAGCACATTAATTAAAACATAAGTGATATATGCATCTTAATGTAGCAGTTCATTTGTTTTTATAAGTTAAAGTTTATAACAAAAGAAAAAAATCCATTAAAAATATATAGACAAAAGTGTTATATAAGAAAGATTCTAACATTGATATAAGTTACAAATGACACAATTACACGAGTAAAAAATACACATGAGAACATATTTTTATAGATAGTAATAAATTGTTTTTAATTTCATGTAAGCATTAATTTATGTATAAGTTAACTATAACGTAATTTTCATTATCTAGTATTATGACGTGCAACAACTTATTTTCTGTACTTGGTGCTTCAAAATATTTTCCAAATAGTGTATTACGCAATGTATTGAAAAGAATGTAACATATTTTCAATACATATACATGTGAAAATTAAATCAATTTGTAATTAAAATTTATTCGATTTTTTTTAAATAACTGTAACTTGTTTCATAACGTTACTTATTGTTCAAAAATACAGCCTGTCTCTAAGTATGTGTCGTTTAAAATAATTAGTAAATAATAGGGAGCACGAGCAAAATTTTTTTCCATTATTCTTTCTGTAGATGTACTTCTTCAATAATTTTTCAAGGTCTTATCAGGATATTTGACATTTTTTAAGTCAAACATATTACAGATTTCAGAAGCGTTTCAGCGGGATGTCTACTTGAAAAGTGATACATTGTACACTGCGCATGCGAGGCATCTGTTCGCCTCTATTCATAGTGTCTGCGCGGCGCCAAATGAAGTGCATCATACCAAACTTTATTTTTTTTTTTCAATGTTCTCGAAATCTCACCATCATTTTGAAAAACTTATTTTACAGGTTAAAGTTCAAGCAATTCAATTATATTTTTTCAAATTGTTCTATGGGTGGGAACAACGTTAAATCAGCAGTTGAAAATTTAGCAGGTTAAAGTTCAAGCAATCTGATGGTATTTTTTCAAACTGCTCTATGGGTGGGAACAGAGCCAAATCAACAGTTGAAATTTTAGCAGTGATTATTGTTATGTTTGCTAATAATAAATAAAATTTTATATACATATTCGAAAAGAGTATTTCTTTAGCTTTAAAATGAGTCCAAGGTCGAAGCATTATCTTTATACAAAACCGAAATATTACCGTTAAAGTGAAGACATGTCGGCTGATTTCGTCTAATTTTTAAAAACTCTAACATTAAATGTCTTGAAAACCATTGGAGATAAAAAACTAAAATTTTACAATTTAGTTTCATAAATCCTGCGAGTTTGAAAAAATCGGTAACTATGACACGCAATTGAATGGACGTTGAATGGCTTATCCACGCTTACATATGCATAAATAATATCTACATGGATTATAAGGTATAAATAATTTTATATACTTGTTCTAATGAACGGTAATAATAAGACTATTATACATTATAAAAAATGTTCAATTTATTAACACTTTTAATGTACTTTTAATTAAAATTCTTTACATTATAGTGTTATCAGTTTTTTAGTTTTCTAATGCTACTCATGTTATGTTTGTACATTTTCCATAAGAGCAACATGAGCTTCAAATACAATAATGTGTTGTAACTACCTGTAAATAAATGAAGTAATCCTTTGTTTGGTGAAAATAAATTTTGAAGCACTCTCAGTAATTCCTCGAAGTTGCCTGTTTTTGTATATTCTTGTATCATTTTTGCAAACGTTTTATAATCAATTTCTGATAATGAGCGTTTCACCTAATATATATTACACATTTAAACTATTTAATTTGAACCAGAATTATTACTATTGTAAGATTTTTATTAATTAAAATTTATATACCATTGATCATAATTAATTATTACAGATGATTACTTACTTTTTTCAAATATGCTTTGCCCAAAATCTTTTTGTCAGTGTCATTACTAGTTTCTTCGAATATTTGTTGTGAATTTATTGAATTATCTGTATGTTCTGTATTCGCAGATGAGGAAGTTGAAGGACTAGACAAGTATTCATTGAATTCTACTGGTAACATTTTTATCTTTCGTTTTTTTGTAGCTGGTTCGTTAATATTTTTTGTTAATTCACAAACAGTGTAATTGTTTTTTAATTTACAGTCGTTAAAATTAATTACTGGCTTTGATTCTGTTGCTAAAACTTCAAAAAAATTTTTTTTCTTTGTCTCAACCTTCTTTATATTCTTTTCAGTTTCATTAGCATAAGAATCAATATTGAAAGTATCGTCTGTCGAAGACTTTTCTAAATGCTGTTTTGATGTATCTTTTGCGGTACGAGAAACAGTTGTGTCAAAAGATGCTGACATTGCTGGTAATGAAATATCACTATTCACGGATCGTCCTCCAATCATATTTGGTTGCGGTAACTTGAAATGATCATATAATATAGTATAATAATAATAAAATTCATTTTTTTTTTTTTTTT